AAACAGAAAAACAATAAGTGGGAATGCATAAGCATTCCGACTTGATTATTCTTCTTCTTGACACTGTTCAAAAACAAACCACTAAACTTGAAACTATTTCTTTTTCTGGTGATCCTTTGTGTCAGCTCAGACAGGTTCTTATTGTCAAACAGCTGAAGCAACACAAACAGGAGGAAACTATAAGCCTTTTGCAAGGATCAAAAACGTGGTTTGGAGGCTCAATAAGCATCTAACTAAACAGATTTACATACATATGTCTCATTAATGCAGCCTACTGGGGCATTTCAGCTGTTTTGTCACGTCCACTGGTGCTGAGGGCATCGGCATGTGTGAGCGCGCCTACACACCAATAACTGAGACCATTAAAGGGAGACTTTCCAAATGGCTGCTGGTTTGTTTAGGCAAAAGAAACCTTCAATAAGCCTGAATAAACATTAGATAAGAAAACATAAATAAAAAAAGAACATAAAAAAGAAATAACTTTTATACAGTCTTATGTTTACATTTATCAATGCTGCTTACTTTTTTCACTGCTGCACTTTAAAAAATGGAAATGTCTTAAGAGCTGTACTGAACGTGATTTATATTTGTATACACGCTGTTAATACAAAATGACAAAGTCAGTCTAAGTCTAAAAATACTTGAATGAAAGGAAGCATAGAAGTACTGAAGATGTTTGCACATCATTGTAAATCTTATTCACTGTTGGCAGCTGTTTATAAAGGTGGGAATGCAACGTCATTCTGATCACTGAAGATGGATGGCCGAGTTGAAATTTGAAAAATTCTACTTCTTAAATTCTGAAAAGGATTTGCATTTTATTTGATAAATTCACTTTTCGTTACTAAAATGATCAGAAAAGCAACGTTTGTTTTATAGCTATTTGATGCTATCTGCATCAAATTCATGTAATCTGCTTTGCTTTCCTCCAATAACACGTCGAAAAAAATGTAGTTAATCCCTTTGTGAGAGGGGAATTTTATGCATCTGCTTATATTCTAATGAAAGTAGGGATCATTTTTATGTAAAAATGTTTTTTATGCCATTCATTTGGGACAGTATTACGTTATACACATAATATTTAAAAAAAAAACCATCTCAGATCCTACATCAGGTCTCCCTTTGCATCTCATTCTGCGTAAAATTCTCCGGGAACAACACCCAGAAATTCCTAAACTGATCATCACAGCCCATGATGTCATACTGAAATTTTCTCAAGTAGAGGATCAGAGTGAGCTCGGTCAGCCATGCCTCTAACCTGAGGCACTTTATCTGGGTTCCATGACTTCAAAACAACTTTCTTGGCTATGATCATTCCATACACAAACACCCTCTCCGTAAAAGTGCAGCAAGTCAAAAGTGAAGGAAAATACCCAAAATCAGTCGATCAAGATCAAACACAATTTTATATGTTTCAGAAAATCAGTTAAAACTGTCAAACCTATATTGGGGGAGCTTTGTGCAGAATAAATGAGACGGAAGGATGGATGAACTTGAACTGAATATGCTGATCTCTCAAATTAATGGAGCAAATTCTGCTCAAGCTCAATTCTCCATATTAATTCTCAATATTTTCTTCCCATACAAGCTGAGGGGAGCTTGTGGGGGACTTGGATTTCTCTTAAAAAATGTCAACAAATCTGTAAATATCTGAAAAAGTGACATCAGGACAGGAAAAAAATGTCCTTCAATGCCGTAAATGACAAAAATATTTACTTAATATAAAGTTTTTGCAAAGTATTTATACCTTTTTGCATTTTATTGTTAAAGGATGAATCTGTGAGTGATGAGTGAATGTATGTTTACCATTCACTTAAGCATAGACCAGAATATCTGGAAGCTGAAAATAGCACCATTTCTTTTGCATTTGAGGGAAAAAATTTTGTTGCAATTTACAAATTGTGTCACTAGAGATCGTAAAACTGTACATTATTGCAAAATGGCATCTTCAGTGATACAAACTTAACAGTTCAATAGAAAAGTACTTAAATAAACTGCTTTATTTGTTTTCAAGATGTTCATCAAAATAAATAAATATATTGTTGGTGTGGGAAACCAGAGTAAATTCAAAATACAGTTTCCAAATGTGAATTGAATCTATGAAAGAATATATATTGAAACACAGCTGGCCTTATGGCTACAGTGGTTAAGCACATTGTTTGGCTTCAATACTCACATCTGATTACTAATCAATACAATTCAAATAAATGCCTGGAAAACAGGCCGATCTCCAACATCTATAAACAAAGGTGTTGATAAGAGCAGCAGCACAGCTGATATTTCTCTCCAGGATGGAGTCACAGCCAAACAGGAAAAGACGAGGCAAAGCTACTTTGAGAGAAAAAGCAGAGAGAGCAGAAAGTTAGAGATTGAATTAATATATTCTGCGGAATAGGATAATTGAGATAAAAGGAAGCAGAATGATGAAAAAGGGTTCCCTATGTCCTCCAGCAGTCTGAGCCTATAGCAGCATAACTATATTCTAACTATAAGCTTTATCAAAATGAAAGATGTAAGCCTACCCTTAAGAGTAGACAGGATGTCTGCTTCATGGACTAAAACTGGTTTGTTCCACAGAAGAGGAGCCTGATAACTAAAAGATCTGCCTCCCATTTTTCTCTAAGAAATTCTAGGAACCACTAGTAAACCTGCAGATTGAGAGCAAAGTGCTCTGTTAGGAACATAAGTATTGTCAAAGTCTTAAATCTTTTATCTTCTTTTCATATAACCTGTATGACAACATGAATTAAGCCAAAATATCCTGTAAAGATGGAGCTGTAGAGCAGAACGCTTCAGGGGGGGAAATCTGTTGAGATGAAAACTTAATAGATGTGAGCTCCACAGACCACGTCGTCATGGAAGAATGGAAAGAATATAGCCATTGTTGATAATGGTCAGATGAGACTAAAATCTGTTCCACTGAACAGCTTTCGGTAAAGAAAAGAACATGGAAAATAAAAAAAGGAAAATCCAGCGGGACATAAACCTCTTTGCTGAGACATTAATGACAATTTTAGGTTCCTCCTTACATAAGAGAACTCTCCCTCACCCCTCAAACACACAAGTTAAACAGACCTTGAGTTGAGCCCAACATTGGAAAGCAGAGCGGCTGAGAAAGGACCTCGTTACCCACAGTGATCACTGAAGAGAAGAGACCCCACCCACAACCCCCATTTTTCTCAGATAACAGCCCCGTTGTTGGATGCAGGAGCTGAACAAAGGCGACCCTGTCCAATTCCTCTACCTTTCTGTATCTGTTTCCTCTGTGGTCAGCCAACAGGCATCTCAAACCCAAAGATACCTGAACCCCTCCTTCTGCCTGGCTCCCTTTCTGTTGCTCTGTCCTCAGCTGTCCCCTCCCTGCAAACAATTCTGAGGACACAGAGAGGGTGGATTAGGGAAACTGTATAGCAAGACCATTTAGTGGGGATCAAGAACAATTTGGCAATGATAAAACATCAGAAAAAAAAGTAAGAGCTTTGTTGAACTGCTCTAAAAGAAGATGTCCTTACCGTCTTAGTCTTTAATCTGACACCCTTTTTTTTACTGGTGTCTTCCTGGAAAATGTTGCATTTACTTTTTCGGTCCTTTTTACTCTGACACCTAAAAAAATGTAAAAGCTTTTTATGATGCATCTAATTAGTAAATTATAAATTTCAGGGAACACAACAGATGGGTAAGAAAGAAAGTTATGTGCACATCAGGGTGTAGGTCATACCACAGATTACCAACCTATAGCATCTCATAGACTATTATTCAATCTACCTTTACCAAAACATTTGAGTTACTCAGATTAGCAAGCCATAAGGGGCTGCGGAACTGAAGGCTTTGGTGGGGGGAATATGATGGCGGGGAAACACTCCATCAATCAAGCCTTCTTGAAAGAGGGTTAAAATATAGTCATGTTGGAACAATGGTGAGATTAAATTGAAATGAAACCTTCAGACTTACAAATTCAATATTTGTAGTGCAAAGGTCACAAAGCACATCACCCTGAGAACAGCTTTACCTCTGTGAGACATGGCAGCGGCATCATGATGCTGTGGGGAACTTGGCCAGAGCAGATAGAGATGGAACTAATGGTGCATTCAGTAGTTGCAATTTCTGACCTCCAAGTAAGAAATGTCAATCGGAACACCTCAGAGATTCAGAAAGTCCAAAAAAGCGCAACCATAACAGACGTCCACATTCAAGATGGCTGCCACACACATCAACAGTAGTTAAACTTCCCTGCTTTTACTGTTTTTAGCTTTTCTTTAGTATTTATCTACCTGTTATACTCAGTCATACACGTTCCACTTTTCAGGGTTGATAACGCCAAAGGTTTATGGACAACATACCGAGTAGAACTGTGTTTCTGTCATTATTATGGTTCTAACAGTGATAGTAGTAGCAATATACGAACAATGGAGAATACGAGCCTTAATTTTCAGTTTTATTCATACAAGGTGATAAAATGGCCCCAAAGATTAAAACCAAATCTACAATAGACTAGTTTAGATCAAAGCACGTTAATTTTAGAATGAGAACCTAGACTTGAACATCTATATTCAGGGACTCTCTACATTCAGTCTGGCTGAACTTTAGCTTTCTTTCAAGGAAGAAGATCATTGTCATATGTACTACTTTGTGTTGGTCTATGGCAGGCATCCCCAAAGCTGGTCCTCAAGGGCTGCTGTCCTGCAGGTTTTAGAGGTTTCCCTTCTTTAGCACAGCTTAGTATGATGATTGCAGTTCAGCAAAAGCCTGTTAATAAGCTTTCAATTAGAATAGGCTTTGCTGGGGCGAGGAAACCCCTAAAACCTGCAGGACAGCGGCCCTCGAGGACCGACTTTGGGGTTTCCTGGTCTATGGCATCAAATCCACATAAAATACTTTGTAGTTTGAGGTAGTATAGAAATATCTGAAAGAAAAAACTTGAATCCTTTAGTAAAGGATTCAAACCTATCAAAAAAGTTCTCATTAAATACATTTGTTTTTCCTTTTCTGTCTTTATCTGACAGGATGGTGTTATATCAGTGAAGGATATCGACCTGGTGATGTCAGAGGGACTGGGAATGCGTTACGCCTTTATAGGTCCCATGGAAACGATGCATCTGAACGCCCCTGAAGGTAATGTTTGCCTCTTTAGGTTCAGATGTAATGTGTGATTAAGCATTGGTGGTGTTTTTTTTTTTTAAAGGTTGAATTCCCTATGTTTTATGTATTTAAACTGGGTTTTCAAACTAGGTAACAAATACAGACCACAGCTTTTGACTAGGAATTCATATAACATCGTTGACATGACCCACATGTATACACAGTCCCATGCTGTGATGGTGCAGCGTACGCATCACAATGCGATCGAAACCTCATGCCGATGGAGAATATCAAAGGGGAGTGTGAAACTCCGAGAGTATCCCTGACTGACTCCACACATACACACAGATAAAGTACAGTCTGGCTGAACAAAGCCACCTTTTGATGAGAAGCTCAATGCCCTCCCTCACACCAGTAATCTAAAACTCACACAGCTCTCTTCACAGCCTTCAAACCAGGTGCCAACTCTTCGTGTTGCTACAGTACTGGACGGATTTTTTTTCTCTTTTCAGGAAGCAGTAGTCTGATCTTGTTCTCAAAAGATTGTTTGGACCGAGTCCTGTTCCGTCTTTCAAGTCCTCAGATCTTTCCAAACAGATACCTTACTGCTCAGGCTCTCTGTCTCTCCTGCCTTACCTGAGTGCTTTTGTAAATAATTAACCCACACAGCTCAACATTGTTCTTTAAGGGAAAAAGCCTCTAAAAGGTCCTGATTATAGTTCTTAAGGAAGTCTCCAAACGTCTTTCAAAACACAAAGCCAGCATGACCCGGTTTTCCTACAGGTCTAAGGCTGCACAGAAGCATCTGCATAAGACGAAAGGCCTGATAAAGGGTTAGCAAAGAGCTGCCAAGGTGTGGAGAAGAGAACATTGTGATCACAGTTAGCTCCCATCTGATACAGTCTATGGGGAAAAAGCAACAGTGTTTTTAGAAATGACATTTTAGAGTTTAAAACACAACAGAACAAAATGTCACGCTGTCTAAAGTGGTGCACAATTACTAAGGGAAGGAAAGTACAGCATGTTTCGCTGATTGAATGCGTGGCAGAAAAACCTTTTTGGATTATTTCTCTGCCAGGCTTATTCATGCCCCTAAAAGTTTTGCCCGCTCTCCTGAACAAATAGCTTAGGTTTTGTTTGATTGGATCAAGAGCAATTTTTGGACATCAGTTTTTTTATGTTGTAGCAGTGGTTCACATTTTGATATTGGTCAGGGCTTTGACTAGGCCATTTTGAAATATAAACAGGCTTTGATCCGTATATATTGTTCTGGTTTGACTTTTAGTGCTATCTTTTCCTGTTAACCTGTTTTGCTGACAAAACGTCCTTCCCATGGCATGATGCTGCCACTAATGTGGTTCACTGTAGTGATGATGCTTTTAGATTAGCATGCAGGGTTATCTTTTTTTCTATGCCTTGTATTTTGCATTTCAGCCATAAAGGTGAATTTTAGGTTTGATTTGCTGTGTTCCTACATAGCAATAACATCCAACAAGAATTGTTATGGTTGTCTTTTAAAACTTTTTTTTGCCTGTGTAAATTGTCCAATAATCTAAACTATATTTCTTTTAAACATTCAGAGGGCCCATGTTCTTTTTGGCTGCTTCTGCTATAAATGCTCTCCTTTCCCAGTAGAATCATTTTGGTGGATGTTCCTTTCATATAAAATTGCACAAATTTAATTCAGGATAAGTAAATATTTCATAACCTTTTCTTAAAATAAGCAGTTTTATTTAAAATACGTGCACGTAAACTACTCTCTACATGCTCTTCTAAACTGTTATGCATGCGGATTCAATACCAAGAGGCCTACTCTGCAAAAGCAATGTAGATATAAGTTTAAATTAAGTGTATTTCCCCTTCATTTAAAGCTACAGTGTGTAATAATTACAGTCAGAAATGCAATATATTATACATAACTATGTTATTTATCATCATCTACGAGCTCAGCCTCTTAACCTTAATATTTGCTTTGCCTTAGAATTCGTTATTTATAATTACATAGGAGCGGGTCTTGCAGCCATGGAGGCAGACATCTTTGCGCTACGGCAGCCCAGAGCCAACAAACTAGCGATTGCGAGATCGCCAAAATGTCACAACGATGTAGAAAAAATAACGGGTATATTTATTATCAATAAATCTACATGAAATCTATACCCTACACAGACTAACGAAATACTATCTGTAAAATTATCTATGTAAACAAACCTCATCACTTGAGAAGGTAGGTGATGCGGACGTCGTGGAAGACATTTTGTCCCGTAACGCTCGCCGTACTGTTGGGGGGGAGAAGCGGTGGGGGGGAGATGTTCTTGTTGCTGCAGTCTGACCGCTAGATGTCGCTAAAAGTTACACACTGTAGCTTTAAGCAAGTAAATAAGATAATTTTGTCACAAAACGAGGACAGATGGACCCAGTATTCAAGGAGAGAAAGTCAGGAGGAAAGTTCAAAACATTTATTAAATGAACAACAAAACTAAAAGGGGAGCTGCTAGGATCTGTGACATGCGGCGACTGCAGGTGGGGGGCGGGGCACCACCCAATCACAGACACTCTGTTGTGGGAGAAACACAGGTAAGTGACCACGATCATCTGACAGAAGATGATTATCTGAGTTGGTCACTTACCTGGTTTAACAGTCCAGTCCAGGAATGTCCCCAGTGCTGCAGTTCCAAAGATCTTGTAGGAAGCCGATCCTGGTCAGGGACTCAGAACGGAGAGGAACAGATAGAACAGGCAGGATCCAGGCTTCCATGCATCCTAGAGCTCCCAGGCGGATTCAGAGACTGACAGAGTCCGGAAGCGTGACCACTTGGTCACGCACAAAAGCAGACAGGATCAGGTGCAGATGGGCAGGCTCAGTGGAAGACGGTAGCAGAGACAGGACGTGGAACCAGAACTTGATGCAGGACCTTTAAACAGTCTCCTCCTTAGAGCCAGGCTAACTTGGTTAAAAACTGAACCTCCCCGTGTAAAGACCCAAAAACCCAGAGGACTCAGCAGGGGAGGAACAGTGGACGAGCAGGAGACGAGACAGACACAAAAACCTCTTTCCACTGGCCGCCAGGATCCAGGACATGAACCATGAAATAAAACAGAACAGACAGACTAGCAGAAAAGCAACTAATGATCTGGCCCCAAATGCTCAGGCTGAACAGAATATAACCCAGTGGAAACAGGTGAGAGGAATAAATGATAATGCAATCGTTTTTTTTCTTATTTTAAATCTAAATTGTCTTGTTCCATTTGGCAAAGTGTCTCACTTACCTCGTCAATTCAAGAAACAAAATGACTTATTTAGATTGGGGTTTTTTTTGTGTGTTTTGTTTTTTTATATATTTAGATTTAAATGTTTTGCAGTGCACATTACATCGCATGCATTGGTGCATGCTTCTTTTGACGCTTATGATTTGCTGGCTACTTTTCATGAAATCCAGCCCCTTCAGACAGTATCGTTTCCTTCCAGTGGTGGCTAGTAAAAGTTACAAGAATAAAGTATATATTAATATTAAGAGAATAAAGTCCTAAAATTGCGAGAAACAAGTTGTATTTTATGACAACTCCTACAAGAAGCACTTTCTTCACTAAAATGAGGAATGTTGAGCATCATGTGAAGTTATACTTTGGCTCTAGTTTGACAAATAAGCTAATCTTTTAGCACCGGCATCAAACTGGGCACCAGGTCAAAGTGGAATCAGGCTGATGTTTGGTTGAGCTGGTCGGCCCTCATTTGCTGGCCAGAGCTCGAAGCTTTCTTTCTGAAACAGGTTGTTGTATGATGACTTCATTCTCGTAATGTTATGACTTTCTTCTCGTGATGTTACAACTTTATTCTCGCAGTAGAAGAAAAAAAAATCTCTAGCCTGGCCCTAATACTCCGTTGTACTTTTTATAAGAAACTCCGTTTGTTTTCACATCTATTCTTTCTTGCTGCATTGTTAGAGCTTAATAGAGCAGATTTCCTTTCTTCTTCTTATAAACAAAATAAAAACTGTTGCAGAAATCTGCTGCCGGTGTTCTGTCAGATGAGCACACCCCATCAGACCAGCATACCCGTAGTCAATACGAATGCACAAGACATCAGATATTTGCGTTTATTTGTACGAAAAATAGACTTAAAACTACCTCAACGGGTGTGTGTCCCTTTAGTCATTTACAAAAAAAACAATTTAAGGTGAGATTGCCATACGCTTCAAAAAAACACCCAAAAGTCAGTCATTAAATAGTTTTTTTTTGTACATGACTAAAAAGAAACAGTTGAGGTAGTTTAAAGGTAGTTTAAAATTTTCTTTTTGTCCAAATCTGAAGGGATAACCCAAAGGGATATATTAAAGGGATTAATTAAAGGGATTAACGGGTATTGACTATGGGTATGCTGGTCTGACCGGGTATCCTCATCTGACTGAACACAGAGTCAGACATTTTCATTCACTTATCAAACCACAAAAAAAGGTGTAATTGGATAGAGATTAACAATCGTTCTGCATTTTACTGGTGCTGTGTTCTCTCCTCTCACCTGTGTGAGATGTTTAGCAGACTGTAGATGGTACTGATCTCACTGCAGTGCTATGTGTAGGGAGTCCTGTTTGGAGCACATTTCAAACAGTCAGGGTTCAGCATAAGAACAATATGAGACATAATTTAATCTTACGGTTTTCATATTGTAGAAATAAACCTTTAGCTGCAAAGGAGCAATAACTTCAGAGACGATCTATGTCAAAACATAAAACTTTAACATCTATTGTGAAACTGAGTGCTTGAGGTCATCAGGGAACTGGTGTGAAGCAGTTTGGATGCTTCACTTTTTGTCTCCAGATTTTCCTTCAGGGTTTTTTTTTCTCTCCAATATTTCAGGTAGTCCTGTCCTACAGCGTTCATTATCAGAGGAATGTCAAAAGACAGCACCGTCCGCCTTCCTATCGATACTTTTTGACCTGATTGTTGTTGCTCCAAAGCAAGTAGTGTCTAAGAGATCCTGCAGCTCGGAAGAGGTTTAGGCAAAAGTGCTGAAATATTTCACTTTATCTGTTCTGTTTGCGTCTTTTTTTTTTTAAACAATCAAAATAAATGTGTACAGCAGTTCAGTTTTTGTCATTTTGAGTTTAAAAGCCCTGTACATTATTATTTCATGAAACGTATAACTAATTTTTCAGCTTCCAGTTGGTCTTCTAGGAGAATAGATGCACGATCCACACCATTAATATGTATACGTTTGTTTGATCACGCCTTAAATCGTTCATTAGCCAAATGTGTCCTGCTTTCAACATAATTTAATCATTAAAGATTAATAAATAAGCAAATTGCTCCATTAAATCTTTCTAAAGGTTAAAATAAGATGGATGGAGACTTTAGAGTTATTAATAAGTCATTTAACATTAACTTTTGACTGACAGGGCCTTTTTTTCTGCCTAAGTGTGGTTTGTTCTCTGTAAAATCAGCTAGAAGCAACAGCCCAGCTTCAAACACTGAGAAGTAGGAGAATTTTCTTAAAATAAACAAATCAGTGAATTAAGAATGTAAAATTCAATCTCAGCAGGAATGCATTGCTCTCACTTCTTCAGCAGAGAAATTAAACAGCAACTGCATAAACACGAGAGGAGAGCCAAGTTTGGCGCCTCAAAAGCAAAGGGAACTTTTGTTGATGATGGGGGTTTAGATTTTGTACAGAGAAAAAGGATAGTTTGGAAGAACGAAGAAGGAATCAATCTTTATCAAAAGAGAGAAAGGACCTGAGGAGGAGGGCTGTGGTTTTAGCTTCCCAGCATGCTCAACAAGTGGTGTCATCAGGTGACTAAAAAAATCGAATTTGCACAAAACAAGAGATGCTATTTACCCAGAGGGGGGAGGACAGGTCGATGATTTGGAACTTAAAGAGGAAGGACGTCTGTATGGGAGGAAAAAAATTTTAAATTTGTCGTTGTAGCTGGAAGCTACAAAGAATCCTGGATAGATTTTGAAATATCTACAAAAAAAAATGGAGCAAAAGTCTATTATAGTCACCATGACACATATGAAGAGGAATCTGCACGGCCGTGTTTCTAAAGTACCGTGTGATTCACTGCTTTTTAAAAGCAGATTTTTTTTTCTCCAGTATTTTCACACCTTAATAGTCACATTTCAGTAACAGAGCTCTTTTGTATATCATGGATATTCACTGTGATAAACCAACACTCCTTATGACAAGGAGGTAGATTATAAAAATATGAAGAGTCTAAATGTGTTTCAGCCCTGGGTCAACATTTAGAGCCACCTTTCACTCCAATCACAGTTCACTTTCTCTACCAGCTTTTCACATAAGACACTTTTACTACAAAGTAGCTGAAGCTCCATCAGTTCAGGTTTTTCCCTTGTATTCTATTGGATTCAAATAAAAAAAAGTACCAGCTTTGATCTAAACCCTTTTATTTTGCTTGTAGCCATATCTTTATGGTTGTTCTCCTGCTTGATGGATCATTCAGCCTCTGTCTCAGTCATCATTACTCTGTACCTGACTCCCGTCTCCAGTCCTTAAACTCAGCACTGCATGAAGTTGTTGTAAACGGGTATATAAGATGATCTTCCAAATCAATATTAAAATAGTTGTTGTTTTCGAGTTTAAATGTGAAAAATCTTATTCCATTATCACATTGTCTTTTCTGACCAAATCAAATACATTTCTTTAAAGAAACTTTCTTATTACCCTTACTTATCTCTTGTATTTTTGCATTGTAGGAACAGTGTTAGATGTGTCCCCCTCTATATGTGTGAGGCGATCTGCTTATGGATAGAGTATTTTTACCCTTAGAGCAGGGGGGGATTTACCATTAGGCAATACTAGGCTGTTCCCTAGGGCCCCAAGTTCCCTGGGGGCCCCATAAAACTCTGTTAACATGTATGGTTAATACAACTATTCCTTATTTGTGCACATTAATTATGTTTTTGATCAAAAATCTTTCGCCAAAATGCCATCAGAACGCTTATAATAAATGCATCTCAGCCTGTCTTTGCCTAGGGCCCCACATTTCCTATATCTGTCCCTGCCTTAGAATAAGGTAGTAACAGTAGATGTTATGCACTCAAAGTTATATAATGAAATTGTGTATCTTTTTAATGTCTGAAACAAAAATCTTAATCAGTTGGCAAAAGGTCTTACTTCCTCAAATCAAGGGAAAATACACTTTTTCAAGAAAAAAAGACAGATTTAAATTTTTGCAGCATGGGCTCCTGAGCTGATGATCTCTTGAGTTATAACAGAAGCTGGTCTCCTTGGTCTCTGTCATGCTCTGTTCATTGTCTAATGTTTTTTTTTTTTTTTTACCTAAACGGCTGAGGCCTTCACAGAACAGCTGGATTCACCCTGAGAATAAATTAAACTCATCCCTGTACATATTCATTAAGGCAATTAGGGCAAAGAGGGTGGAACACCAACGCAGGCCACATTTTCATTTTGTCTCAATTACTTGTAACTTTAGCAAACTATTAAAAAAAAACACAAAGCAATCACAAGTTGTGAATTCTTTAGCATCAGACTCTATATAGCAACATAGTCCGAACCATGAAACGCCAAAGCCCGTGTCTCTATGTTAACCTGCAGCGAGCTGCTGACACCCTGCTGTCCTGAGCGCCATGTCTGTGTCAAATCTATTAATATGATACATGTGAAAGTCCTCTGGCCCTTGATCTACTCCTCATTCCCAGCACTGCCCCCTCTTACAGGTTTAGAAGACTACATGAGACGATACGGGGAGGGGATAACCAGGGTCCTGAATTCCTTCGGGCCGGTACCCGACTTCTTCGGGGAGCCAGCCAAGGCCATCGTCAAGGTAACTTGAGGTCTAGCTAAGACACATTAGCTCATTAACAGAAACCCAAGTTTAAAATAATACCAATGTTTGCTTCTTAATGTCAAAATTAATAATTACTTGTGCTTTTCTCTTATATTAACTGATGGCTGATCTTCCTGGTTAATCTTGTTGATGGTTGAAAGTCAGGAGTTCCTGCTTACACATTTTCCAGTCACATGTTTTTTTTTACGGGCTGTTTTTTACAGTTGGTCACAGAAGGTCGCTGTGGCTGCCCTGGAGCAGTGATCATTTGAACTACTTATGCAGGAGACAAGCAGTTGCTCTTGTTTGGTGATGATCAGGACAAACTATATGTCCTGTATGAGGGGACACAGTGGGAGTGTGGGGACTAGTAGAGTTTGTGGAAAAAGTAACAATAGTACAGATTACTTTGGAAAACACGTCCTGTGTGATTGTAGGCACATTTTAGCAAACATTTTGTTTCATCATTGTTACAAGTGAAGAACATGTTTGTTAAAGGGACATTTGTACAAAAAATACAATCCAGGAAAAATTCCCCACAAAATCAAAAGGTTTTGATATATTGTCTTTCAAAAAAAAATTTTTCTAACTTTTTTTTGCCAATTTTTTTACAGACCTTGTGGTTTACAGATCACATTGTCTTCACCTTAAGCCCAGTACAAAAAACAGCTGCTGACATATTGACCGATAAAAATGTTGTTGCTAATGTCTATGCAGGCAGACCAATAGAAATGCTTCTTTGCTGCAGGCCCCAGACGTGAAGTAAATGTGATCTAAGATACAATTAGAAAAGAATCCACTTCATTAAACTCAATCTAAAAACTAAAATTGGAAAAAATAAACATAAAATATATATGAAAACATTGCACAGACACTGCATAAAAGTACATGGCATTATGCAATAGGAAAATACTATAGCATTAATAGACATGTACTATTTCAGTCTTGATTTGAAATCTTGAAATTATATGTAATTAACACCACAATGTCGTCAAAATATGTATATTACATGTACATCATCAATTTAGCACTTTTGGCACACCTGTATTATTGTGCTCCATTTACACATTCATTTTGTTGTGATGGATTTGTATAATATGTTATATTACATTATTTTATATATGATTTATATATATATTTAACAAAAAATTAAATGTCAGAAAACTGACAAGTTACTCTAAAAACCTTAGTTTGATTAAGAAGTTTTTAAAGCTACAGTGTGTAATAATTACAGGGATATACAGTCAAAAATTTAATATATTATACATAACTATGTTATTTATCATCATCTACGAGCTCAGCCTCTTAACCTTAATATTTGCGTTGCCTTAGAATTCGTTATTTATAATTACATAGGAGCGGGTCTCGCAGCCATGGAGGCAGACATCTTTGCGCTACGGCAGCGCAGAGCCAACAAACTAGCGATTGCGAGATCGCCAAAACGTCACAACGATGTAGAAAGAATAACGGGTATATTTATTATCTTAAGTCTACATGAAATCTATACCCTACACAGACTAATGAAATACTATCTGTAAAATTATCTATGTAAACAAACCTCATCACTTGAGAAGGTAGGTGATGCGGACGTCGTGGAAGACATTTTGTCCTGTAACGCTCGCCGTACTGTTGGGGGGGAGAAGCGGTGGGGGGGAGATGTTCATGTTGCTGCAGTCTGCAGTCTGACCGCTAGATGTCGCTAAAAGTTACACACTGTAGCTTTAAAGTTTCATTTTTGGATTTTTTTTTTATTTCATTTACAAAATATTTCTTACATTAAGTGTATTTACACTTAATTTGAGTAGGTAAAAGAGATAGTTTGCCAATGGAATGAGATAATATGCTCTTGAAATAAGACAATGCAATCGTGTTTTCTTATTTTAAGTGTACATTTTCTTGATCCATTGGCAAAATGTCTCTTTTACCTCCTCAATCCAAGAACAAATGCACTTATTTTAAGAAAAAATTACTGTTCTAGATTTCGATTATTTTCCAGTGTGCTGAAGCATAGAAACCTCTAAAACCTGCAGGACAGCGGCCCTCCAGGACCGACTTAGGGCATGCCTGCATTAGGGCTACATATTACAAATGTTTTTAAAAAAGACCTGCAATCTGCTTCCATTTTAGACTTCTGATTATACTAGTTTGTGTTTTAATCTCTGGCTTTGCATAGTTTTGCATCGTGCCCTCCTTTCTGCCATGATTATGTGATGCCTAAATAAACAAATAAAGGCATCATCATATAGTAACTTAAAATCATTGTTATGTTGATATTTTAAACCAGGGACAAACTGATGACTCAAAACTATTAAACTGTATCTTATGTTAGCAACTAGTCTACTTAGCATTGTTGAGTAAATCTACTGATATGTATTTATTCACTAGATTGCTTATAGCCTGTTGCTAATACGGGGTAGAGTGAAGCCACCGGCCGCCATATTGGTACTCCCTAGTTAGACCGGTCACAATGTGCACAATATGTGCGCAACAGCATAGAACAATAATGATGTTTTATTTTCAGGGGGGCTTAAGACTTTTAAAATAAAGATAAATAATCACTTGGACACACATGCTGTTTCATAGCATAAGTAAATTACTCTAAGTTATGATAAAAAAAAATAGGCACATCACTTTGCACTATGAAGTTGTATGATGCCATATACGTTTATGCTGTGTCTGTGCATTAGCCTTTAAATCTGACAGATTTATGATACAGCAAAATTAATGAACCAATTTAATAACTCCACAGAGCTTCAGCACTTATATTTCAGCACATGACTTTTTTCACATAAGAAATACAACAAACACTACAAAAACGACAGCGTCATCCACTTAATAAAGAATTACTACATTGACATTTAACAGTTAATTACTTTTTATTTACTCTACTTTCTATTTTCTAACGTTAGACACAATGTCAATGGCTAACTTAGTCAATATCTTCGAGTCAGTCCGAAATAGCCAGACTAATGTTATGCTACATACTATACTATAGGATAGATTCGTGTATATATGGATTTTCTTGGTTAGTACATCCACCGACTGTGAAATTACCTGTGAAATGTCTTCCTACAGCCGGCAAATTGCTTGTTTTTGCAACCTAATGCTCCACACGTAGGCATATTTATGGCACGTCTCCTTGGGAATGGAGATTACCAATATGGTGGCTGGTGGCCTCACTTTTTTCGGGCTATCACCTATCGGGTGAATCAATAGAGATCAGTGGGTAAATCCAAACCTAAGCTCTGAGATTTCCAAAACCTGGCAATATTTCATCATCGGACTCTAATGGTGTGTTCACACCAAACACGTTTTGGGCGTCAATGCATCTGATTCACATTCAAAGTCTGTTAGGGGAGCGGCGTCAAAAAGTCCAGCAGCATGTCCGAGCATCAGTAGCGGTGCATCCAAGCTTTCTGGTTTCAGAGCTTTTGATGCTGGAGTTCAGAAATCTAAACTATTTGGGCAGAAAGACACTGCATGCAAGCAGTTATTGCTTCTGCAGAGCTGCCTGCATATTTATAAATATAAAGAGGTTCAACGCCTAGGATTTAAAACAAAGAGCTGGGAGAATGGACTGTTTTGTAGAGGGAACAGAGAGCGAGCTCTGGTCATTATTGCTGCACTAAAATATTTTTATAAGAACTTTGGCGAAAAAGTTTATAAATACCCAAATTAACTGAAAATGTTAAAACATGCCCACAAAAAATATTCAGTTGTATTTGCTGGTACTTGCAGGTTCTACCACAAACCTTAAAGACTCTTTATATTCAATTGCAGCCGTAAATTCCCCACAAGCCGGCAGCTGGAGAGAGCTTTTCAGCGGGGATTTCCAGCGCTGTTGGCTAGTGGTACGCCGGAGGTCTGGTGCTTCAAACAAAAACTGCATACTTTAGTGGGATCATAACCCTGATGAACTGACTGCACAGATAATGTTTGGATGTGAAATTTCTTTCTTAAAAACATGTTAAAACAATTTTCCAACTTATCAAAGTAAAAAATAAAGCCAAGCTGCTCTCTAGCTTGTAGCTATAGAAAAGAGCAGATAAACAACCAGAGTGTCAAAGAAACTTGACCAGCGTTTGACCCAGCGTCCCATTTAAGTTTTTAAGAGTTTTTGACACTCCAATCTCGTTTGTGTGAACGCATCCTTAGAGATCAAGACAAATGACCTGTTCCTGGTTAAGCTTTCCTTTTATCCACTAAAACCTTTTCTTTAATTAACTGAAAAATACAACAAAATATTAGGGCCAGAGAGATTTTTTTATTTTTTATTCTAAGAATAAAGTCATAACATTACAAGAATCAAGTCTTAACATTAGGAGATTAAAGTTGTTGTAATACGAGAATGAAGTTGTAGTATTATGAGAATTAAATCATTATACCACAACCTGTTTCAGAAAGAAAGCTTCGAGCTCCAACCAGCTTATGACGGTCGACCAGCTCCACGAATCAGCAACCTGATTCTACTTTGACATCCTGCCCTATTTGATGCTAAAAGATTTCCTTATTTGTCAAACCAGAGCAAGTATAACTTTTCATTTTAGGGAAGAAAGAGTTGTCATAAAATATAACTTGTTTCTTGTAATCTTAGGACTTTATTCTCCTAATATTACGACTTTATTCTCGTAATGTTTTGACTTCATTCTTGTGATTTTATGACCATTCTCGTTGCGACTTTATTTTCGTAATTTTACAACTATATTCTTGTAATGTAACGAGTTTATTCTCGAAATAGAAGAAAAAAAATCTCTAGCCTTGCCCCAATACTCCGTAGTAGAAAAGAAGAAAGAAATAGAAGTTTGTTTTTACTAGGGAATGGATCTAACATTTTTTTCCAGGACAATTTGTGGTGTTTCTTGGTAAGATAAAGGTGATAATTAAAACCATTTGAAAAGATTTATTTGTCCTCCCACCATTTAGGTGTTCAAAGATCAGATTACAATTAATTACCATACTCATATTTTTTCCCTGATAACAATAAAACAACAGTTTAAGTTATTATAACCTTGAAAAACGTTGTATCTTCTTCCCACCATAAAAAGCCCCAAAATTGTGTTGATTCAAGCTGTCTGTGGTAGAGAATAGATTTGTTAACTTATTGTTTAGAATCGGGTATTTCGGACATTTTTACAAAAATAAATTTGTACTTTTGACTGACTTTTTACAAAAATAGGTTTTATATTTTAACTAAAAAAAGTTACATTTACAAAAACAAACCATAAGGTCAAAGAAACATCATTTAACTCGGGCAAAAATGTAAACTAATCAACCGTTTGCAGAAACAAAACATAAATGACCCAACAAACCAATTATGCAAGGTATTTTATATATATATATATCTATATATATATATATCTATATATATATAGATATATAGATATAGATATATATATATATATATATAGAGAGAGAGAGAGAGAGAGAGAGAGAGAGATACACTGGCTGATCAGACCATTATAACATAAAGGGGGGAAACCAAAGAGTGCAACAGCTTACAGGAAACCACACAAAACAATTATGTTTGTTAGATTACACTACAGGAGAAAAGAAAGTAAATAAAAACATATTAACCTTAAATGAAAATGAAGTTAAACCAAAAACCAAACAGAAAAATTCCCCCTCTCCAGCAGGAGCTGGTGGTTCAGTCCAATTATGCTTGTTCAGGTCATCTGTGTGATGATCAAAACCTACAAGGATCATGGAGAGTAAGACTGGTGGAAAAAGACAAATCTATTAATCTGTCAGTTATTTTTTTCAATGAATAATCGGATAGCAAACGGCTCCTTAAAGAAGATTTTTTTTTACTAAATTAAACCAGATGAAACTGAAACTTTTCCACCTTAGGAGTTCTGGATAGAGCAGATTGACGGGCAAAAAGTTTTTTTTATCTTTAATTCAATATGTTTATAAATATTTATTTTATAATTTTGGTATAATTGCTGCTCTAGGTGAGTTTCTCTGTCAGCTAAAGGCATGTGTTAGTGTCTCTAGACTCTAGTTAATGATTAATCAATTACTAAATTGAATTCCATTCGGCCTCTGCACACTAAGCCTGGTTCTTCTGGAGGTTTCTTCCTGTTCAAAGGGAGTTTTTCCTCTCCACTGTCGCTACAAGCATGCTTAGTGTGAGGGATTGCATTTGAGTCCATGAGTCAATGCAATCAACTGGTTTTCCTTGGATAGAAAAATTGGAATCAATTTGACTGTATGATCTGCTGAACTGTAAAGTGCCTTGAGATGACGTGTGTTGTGAATTGGGGCTATAGAAATAAACTGAATTGAATTAAATTAGTAGACAAATATTTCAATAATCAATTAATGCGATTAGTTGTTTCAGTCCTGTAATCAATACACATTGTAAATGAACATGTATAACTGCTGTGACTGCAGTGAATAAATAAATGCACCTGCATACTAAAAATAGTTTAGAATATATATTCTACAAAGACGATGGCTGGTTTATTTTTGCTTTCTGTCTACTGTAACCTCCCATGCAGGAAGCCCAGCAGTTAACTTCAGGGGCCTTTGGTTTATAAGTGAATCAAACATGGTCGCCTGTGTTCCTGTCCCTCTATCTGACATCCTTCACCTGTTTCCTCTTCTGCTGTCTCCAGGAGATGTGTGAGCTGATTCCCAGTGACCAACAGCATCTTTCTGGCAGGAAGGAGAGGAGGGACATGCTCCTCATGCATCTGTCCAAACTGAAGACCGACCACTGAGCTTCAAATGCCCAGGCCAGAGCTAAGGCCACCCAAGGCAGATGGTCAAGATGAAATTCCTGAGAAGCTCTGGAATCTTTAAAAAAAAAAAATGATACTAAAATAATAAGATATCTGAGCATTTTAAATAATTTACTCCAGTCACTCATGGAGATAATCATTTTCTTCACAATAAGAATCAGGGATTTTTTTTTCTGTTTTCTCAAATCTGCTTTATATTTTTTTTAACCTGTGTGGCAAACAAATCTCTCTTCTTCTGACTTGTCCCACTACATGTGAAGAAAAATCAGATGCTGAGAAAAAATGTTTTGATTAATAAAACTATTAAATACGACATGTTGTGCTTTATTTTTAAAGACAGTCTTAGTGTTAAGATGTGACTTAGGTCTTCGGTGCTGGATTAAAAAAAATCAGGAAATGCTTTTCTTGCTTTGATGTTTTGTTCTGCCTCCATGAAGGATTTTGTTTCACAGAAATTCCTTACCAATGTGGAAATCATGGGATTCCATTGTTTGGTTCCAGGAAGTCCGGCACTTATCACCAGCGTTTGAAAATCTACATAAAGACAAACAAACTCCATATATCTGATCGTACCTCCCTAAGAGAAGCCGGCACTAATGCTTGATTAGCATTAGTGTTGTTCACATGGATTCCCTTATTGGCACATTTGTTCTCTGAAACCAAGCCGAGTCAATTTAGAGTGATACAGGTAATAATATCGAGTAAAAACTCGGGTAAAAACTCATTGTGTCTAAATCACAGTGCATGATCTCAATAAGTGATGCAGTTTTATCTCTTGAGCTGTTCTTTTAAACTGTTTTTAATGAATCTGTAACTCGTTTGTCCCTACAGGGTTAATGTTTGGGTTAAAGGAAGCAGTTCGCATCTAACAACCAATCGCCTAAAACAAATCTCTTGTTAAAAACATGTTTGAAGACAAAATATACACAGAAATGTTTTTGTCCAACATGAAAATTTTCTATTTAAGCAGAGTTAACATGTTTTCCTGTTTGCAAATTATCAATATAATGCAACAATTTTTTAATTTCCTTCCTCTAATTCAGGGGTCTTCAACCTTTTCCAGGCCAAGGACCCCCAAACTGATGGTAAGATGGAGCAGGGACCCCCTAATTATATATATTGGATGAAATTGTATTATATTAAACTGGTCCTATAGTCACTCTATTACAGATGGAGTAATGTATCAAAAGTAATTTCTCCCTGGGATTCTTAAAGTATTTCTGATTCTTATTCCTGGTTGATGGGACAGGTGTTGTGAATGAAACGGTGCCCAGCTTGAAAGAGCTCCTGTGTGTTGCTGAATGTGTGCATTGATGACTGAAAGACATCTGCCTCCATTTATCTGTTTACTACAGTGTGTTGAATTCATGTTAATGTGGATTTAAAGTAGAGTTGCGCCGATGCCATTTTTTTGGCCCCGATACGGATACCCGATAACTGACTGTGCAGTATTTGCTGATGCCATCTGTTTGAAATTGATGTGTGTGTATTTATGAAGAACTGCAAACTACTTGGATGTATAATGATTGCCATCAATTCAATTCAGTTTATTTCTATAGCGCCAATTATAAACACATGTCATCTCAATGCACTTTATAGTTCAACCAGATCATACAGTCAAATTGATTCAAAGTTTTCTATCTAAGGAAAACCAGTTGTTTGTATCGACTCATTGACTCGAGTGCAATCCCTCACACTAAGTATGCTTGTGTAGCGACAGTGGAGAGAAAAAATTCCCTTCTTCATGGCTTTGTCAAGCTGCTACCTACTTTTGTGAAGCAGGAAAAAGACTAATACAGAGTGAATCCAGTAGGACTTTTTATTGCCTACCTGGAATTGGCAACAATAGCTGAATAAACGTTTGGCTTTCAAAATGGTAGCAGTGGCCTATTTGTTGGTACTCGCTGATACCGATACCACCATTTTAGTGCTGGATCGGGGCCCCATCCGATACTGGTAACAGAATCGGTGCTACACAAATTTAAAGACATTTCAATTAGTGGAAAAAATTGCAGAGGGGAATATAATAATCAACCAAAACTTTTGCGACCGCCATGCAGTACCTCCATGGACCGCCTGGGGGTCGCAGACCCCTGTCGAAGTCTTCCGCTCTAATTCGTAAGTTTAAAATTAAAGCTTCAGTAATTTAAAACAGTTCAGTAAACTTTAAACAGAAACCATGCTTTCCTGTCTGACTTCTTTTTTTTAAAAAGGGGGAAAAGGGCCAGATACCAGGAAGGGAAAATTTGATCCCTACCCAATTGGTTCTTTCCTGGTAAAATAACCAAATATATATAACTTAATATATACAACTATATATGACTAAAAAGGTGGAAAACAAATGGTATAATTGTTGAACAGTAGAGAAATTCAACAAACAGAATATTTATAGAGTGATTTACAACTAAATTATTTACTTACTTACTACCGTACATAAATCATCAAAAGCAGTAAACTATAACCATACAGTAAAAAATATAATAAAGAGGAAAAAAATGTGAGTATTCCCTTAATCATTTTGTTCTCTGGAGTTAAAAGTAAGTGTAAAAAAAAAAAGCTTTTAGATGAGATTCAGTTCCTTTAACGTTCTGGCACATCTTGCGAGAAGGAGGCAGCTGAAAAAAGGAGACAAATGAAGCTGACAGTTACTAAATAAAATATAAGAATATGAAGCAAGCTTAAGGCAGAAGTTCACTTAAAATTGAAAAAAAAACTACAACAGAGAAACATCCCAGGAAGTAAAAAATAAAAACACTAGGTATTAATCAAACGGTTTACACACTGTAAACCCATTTAAGCTATTAGAACTAAAAAAAACAAAACAAAAACAGATACATCAAAATTTTTAAGTTGAGAACTGAAAATCACAACTTATCAAAAAATTAATTTTGATATCAAGTCATACTTCTCCGTTTATATTTCAGTTTTATCCCAATAGTTCACTATGCTGAATCAAAACGATTAACTTCTACTGTTTAAAGGTTTTGATTTTAATAAAGTTGTTTCTTTGCCCCTAAATTTCAATACAGAAACTCCACCTTCATTTTTCTGTGGATATCATTTCATCCCACTGTTAAATTTGTCCACATTTAATCCCCTGCTACACACAAACATTTAAAATCATGGTGTTGCATCTTTAGCCACAACTGCTGCAAACTAGTCAACCAACAGGATTTTATAGTAAAAATCGGCGCAGGTACTTCTTTGTTACTGTTTAGTTGTTCTTATAAAATCATGCTTTTTAATACACAAATAATTTTGATTAAACCAAAGGATAAGTTCAACCACTGTCAACCCCTGAGTGTAGGTTTTTTTCTTTCTTTTTTTTTTTTTTTTTTAGATTAACTAGAGATGGTTAAGTATAGTGAAAAATGTCTTTTTACAGACGAATTGGAAAACTTTGCAAATAAGAGTGATTGTAGAAATAAACTTCCAGAGCAGGAGAAAAGAACAGCAAACAGTCGTTTCCTATAGTGAAGATTAAGGGCAGTGATGCACAAAAACCTTGCTAAGCAGATTAGAAACGGTGTAAATATCAGTCTGTTTGAGAAATACCTGTTCTTGATCAAATATGAACTTTTCCAAATAATATCATGGTTGTAAAAAATTCTTGGGCCTGAAAATAGTGAAGATTATGGAGCCTAACGCTGCTGGCAAAAAGGATCTGCGGGAGCGCTTCTATGTTCACCATAGGAGCTCAGTTCAGACCCATAGTTCTGCTGTTAGCTGGTTGTTCAATAAATAATTTTAAATCTATTAAATGTTAATCTCAACCAAAGCTTGACAGGGGCAGTGTACGTTAATAAGCATTCCTGCAAATGCACCAGAATTAGCCAAAAGGCTATTTTTTATCTGTTGTCCCTGGACAGATCTTATAATTGTCTACCTAAAAGCACAAGAATAAATTAAAAATAAAAATTACAAATATAAAAAGAAATAAAAACAGCTACAACTCTTCAAAACGTGTTTAAAAATACAGAATAAATGTACGCTGGACTACAGATTTTAGGTTAATAAAATAGAATAAAACATTAAAATAAAAATTCTTAAACTATATATATATAAATATATACACATACAGACATACATACACATACATACTTAGACTTAGACAGACTTTATTATCTTTTTGTATCATTTTTAGTTACAATTGTTTCATGTTAGCAGGGTAGGACATAAGAAATTGTGTTAAAGTACCGTAACTAAATATGATTAAGTAAATACCAAAAGCAGTTGCATTTTTTCAGTGTGTGTATATATATATATATATATGTATATATATATATATATATATATATATATATATATATATATATATATATATATATATATATATATATATATATATATACACACACACACACACAAGTGGCAGCATGGTTTGTTAATGGAAGACATTTAACTAATGCTTACATGACTGATGTTATGAGCCAGTTTTTAAGATGCTTTCTGAAAAAGGTGTGTGTTGCTGCTTTTTATAACATCTCTAGAAGGGACGGTGCTCTCTAATAATAAACCTTTTTTTTTTTTCAATTTCACTATGAAATTAATTAGGGAACAGGAGGAGTTCCATGTAGCAAACAAAAGAAGCGTCAGTTATTTGAGGCAGAGGCATATCTAGAACATTTTTATAATGGTAGCTAGGCAATAACCAATGTACACTGAGGGGTGGCACCAGAACCTCACGGTCAATCTACACTGTTCCAACAGGAAATTATCCATATTTTCTAAATAAAGAAAAAATATACTTTCCTACAGCCTTTGCTAACAAATAGATGCATATATTTAAACATCCACGCTTTCTAAATAAAAGGTATAGTGGATAAATTCTTTCAGTTTTAAGATCTGGGGCGTAAATCTTTTCCGTCGTCATTACTTACCTACTTGTATTAATAAACAATCTGCTTAAAATTGATATTTACAAGCACTAATATCAATATAAATTAATTGATAAGTTTTTATTAAGATTGTTATCTAAGTATGATTTCGCTGAAGACTCCCAGATGACTTGCAGAGACACATTTTTCTTTACCCCATAAAATACAAAATCTAGCTCTGAAAAGGGCATGAATTCTTTGTTTATCATCTTTGATGTTAGTCTATTGATCTGTATAATAAACCAAAAAAATATAAATGTTTTGAATATTCCAGTTGAGAGTATTACTGCTGCTACCATTTGTATTAGAGGGGGAAAAAATGCTAGGGGTGGCAAATGATTGGCCTGGCCCCCCATCTTCGCTGGGTGGACGTCCTGCAGCGACGGGTGCGTCTCCCGCGGATGTGAACGGCATGGCGGAGGGACCCAACGGAGAGAATCCTTGTGGAACCGGCGCAGTGAGCACCGCCAACATCCATAAACGCTACACAGTAAATAAAGCGATACGCATGAACCGGAAGTGGAAGGTCGTTCACACTGTAAATAATGCACGCATAATCTGGGATCATAAAGTCAAACCAAAAGGTCTCTTTGGCGGGCATTTAAATATCCGAAGCTTAAAATCAAAAAGCGAACAAATTATCCACATGATGACGGAATCAAATCTGGATTATTTCTGCCTATCTGAAACTTGGCTGCATAATAATTCCCCTACTGCTGCGCATTTAGTTCCGGGGTATGTCTCATACAGGAGAGATAGAGCTGACGGCAAAGGGGGAGGGGTAATGATTTATGTGAGAGATAACATACAGTGCAGTGAAATCCAGTGGAAAACTCCAACTGATTTAGAATGTGTTGGAGTAAATTTATCTCTTGCACCTCAGATGTCTCTCACATTAATAGTCCTATATCGACCACCATCTGCAAAGATAGACTTTTATGATAAATTCAAAGAAATTTTAAAGCAGTGTGATTTCAAAAAGGAGGTTATAGTGATGGGTGATTTCAATCTACATTGGGACAGTTACAGTACAAGGAAAAAACTTCAGCAAATTATGGATGGATTTAATTTTGTCCAGATGGTTAATGGACCGACACGGATTACAAACACTTGTAGCACTAAAATTGACTTAATCTTTACCAATCATCCTGAACGGATCACAAAATCATACAATATGTTGACTGGTCTCTCAGATCATAACATGGTGCTGATAACAAGAAAGTTAACCAGACAGCGATTCTCAGCCTATTCCGGAAAGAAGGAGTTCATTGGCATTCCAAGGAATAAACAGGAACAATTTCACACTGCAATAAGAAATATGAACTGGGACATTTTACTATTGGATAATAAACTAGAAATAATTAGTCAGAAATTCACTGAATGCTTACAGACAAAAATTAATGAATTTGCAGTGACAATTAAACACAAAAGCAGAAAGTGTTCTCTTCCCTGGCTCAGTGACGACATCAAACAATTAATGAAAGACAGAGATAATGCCCTTAAAAAAGCCAATAAGTCCAAACTATCTTGTGAGAGACAAAAATTTGTTTCATTACGGAATAAAGTGACAAGACAACTACGAAAAGCAAAGGCAGACTTTTTTATCACAATTATTAAAAACTGTCATGGAAACCCAAAAGCTATTTGGGAACAGATTAATAAATTAACAGGTAAAACTGTTCCCAGTAACAATTTAATACAGTTGAAGAACAATGGCATGCTTTTGCAGGATCAGTCTGATATGGCACAGACACTAAATGAATATTTTGTTGATTCTGTTGAGACCATAGTCAAAAGTTTTCCTGTGAAATATAACAACATACCTGCCATTAGTTCAGAATTGTTAATTGAGCCCCCACTAAATCCAACATCTGTATCCATATCTGATGTGGAAAAGGCAATTAAACAGCTTAAGTATTCAAGAGCAAAAGACGTGTATGGGATGGACACACACATGTTAAAACGAATAGGTCAGTCAATTATTGGTCCACTAACACATATCATTAATATGTCACTAGACCAAGGGAAATTTCCTGAGCCATGGAAATTTGCTAGCGTCATTCCCATATTTAAAGGTGGCAACTCTCTTCTGACATCTAATTATCGACCTATTAGCATTTTGCCAACAGTATCTAAAGTTTTTGAAAAACTGGTTGCTAAACAAATCATTAATCATCTTAATTGCAGTTCCTTTCCTTTACACTCAATGCAGTTTGGATTTAGGGTTAATCATTCTACAGAGACGGCAACAAGTTATTTTCTGGAAAAGGTTAAATCCAATATGGACAAAGGAAGGATAGTGGGAGCAATTTTTTTAGACCTTCGTAAAGCTTTTGATACAGTTAATCATTCCATTTTACTGTACAAACTCAGTACATTTAATTTTTCCCCCAAATTCATTAGCCTCATTAGTTCATACCTTTCATCTCGTTCTCAAAGTGTAAGAATTGACCAATACAATTCCACCCCCTTACTATTATCAACTGGTGTTCCACAGGGATCAATTGTAGGACCAATTCTTTTCAGTCTATATATTAATGATTTACCATCTGTGTGCAAGAACTGTGACACTTTGATGTATGCAGACGACACAGCTATCTTGGCTTATGGAAAATCCACAGAGGAAGTTGCCGCAAAACTAACTGAGGCCATGTCACTGATGTCAACCTGGCTTGAGCAATCCTGTCTGCAACTGAACATATCTAAAACAGTTACCATGTTTTTTTCAAAAAACAACCTCATAAATATAGAACCGGAAATTTTAATATCTGGAGAAAGATTACAGGTCGTCACTGAATATAAATATTTAGGTTTACATATAGATTCGCATCTCAATTTCAAAACTCATATCCAAAAGGTTCGTAATAGGATTAAGTTTAGTTTAGCAAACTTCAGATTCATTAGAGATTTTCTTTCAACTGAAGCTGCTAAATCATATTTTTTCTCCATGATTTTATCCCATATAACATGTTGTATAATAAGTTGGTCCAATACTCACTCTACTACAATAAAACCATTAGAAACATTATATAAACAAGCATTAAAAATACTGGATAAAAAACCTTACCACTACCACCATTGTAGTATTCTGAGGAAACATCAGTTACTTACCTGGAACAATCTTATCAAATTCAAAAACATCTGTTTAATTTATAAAATCAGACATGGTTTAGCACCACCTCCACTATGTGACTTTGTACAGTTCAGATCCAGTGAGGTCAGGGTAACCAGAGGGGCAGTGAGGGAAGACTGCATCATCCCCCGGAGAAAAACAGCCTTTGGTCAGGCTGTTTTCTCCGTAAGAGCATCTCAACAATGGAACACAGTGCCAGAAACCATCAGAGACTCTTTGTCATTTTCTTCATTCAAAAAGAATGCAAAAAAATGGCTTGTAGAGAGCCAAATTTGTGGACACTAAGGTTTTTAGTGTGTATTTAAATAATTTTACAATATATTTTTAATAATTTTACATACATTTTACTTCTTGACCATAATGTTTTTATGTAATTGGTATTGTAATTTAATCTTGTGATTTTATACTTGTGTTTATTTTTAAGGTTGCCTTTTTAATATCTGGCTGGGGGACTACCGATGAAAATTAGCACTCCTTAGCTAACTCGGGTATATTTACATTGTTTTAATGTTTATTAATGTACACTGTCCCCTTTCAAATAAACAATAAATGAATAAATGAAATGAAATCTAGCTCCGCCCCTGAGTACCTTGAATATTTCCTAACAGCAGTGCTGGCCCCTCCCGGAGCCTCTGGCCCCACCCGGGGCCTCTGGCCCCTCCTTGTCTGTCTGCAGGAGGGATGAAAACTCAGGTGCGCCTCAGCGCTGCGTAAAGACGCGACGGAGCTCCTTGGCAAAAAGTCGAGATTTGCTGCGCGAAGCTGAAAGTAAAGACCGACAATAAATCCTGATCTCCTGAAAAAAAGAAATAAAACTCATTCCAGTATAAAGGCCTAAAGGACAAACATATCTAAGAGGAAGGTAAGTGATGGAAGCCAAAGTTTGATCTCCTTTCTTTTATCAATTCATTCAAATTTTAAATGCTGTTGATATTTTTATCTTATATTTACCATGAAATTAGATGCATTACGGTATGTTCCAAAACAAACAAAAAATACAATAAGATAAAGTTTGATTCGATGTAAATCTGCACTAGAACCATTTTCTTTTGTTCTTTGTCTAATAATAACACACTTTGTTCTGATAATTGAGAGTTATGATATGGTTTCATGGATTAAGGTAGTTTGAGTAGTTTTTGAAAAATACCAAAACAGTTTTAATGAGTAACTTATCATTTTAAGCACTGGCTAAATAAGCTATGGAAGCTTTCATGTATTTTTTTGGGTCAGTTTCATTGCTACACTTATGTGCACTGTTTTTAGTGTCAAACAGTTTGTTCTGTGGCCTGATTACTAAAACTAAATCTCATCAAACTGCTTAGCGCCTCTGACATGTAGAGACTGTTTAACTTAAGTTGTTGTAATTTGACTCTAAAGCGCAGAATTTACTGTAACTTTTCCATGTTAAGCAATTTGTTTCAGGCAATCTTGTTTTTCACGTGATGATGATGATGTTGAAATGGTCTCTTTAACACAGTTGTCACACAATAGATGAAGTTGTCTGAGGAAAGAGTGAGCTGAACAGAGCAGATGATTTCACTCTATCCTCTGGTTTATGCAGCTGAGTCCTTCTTTTATCTCCCACAGGAGCTTCCAGGGTCCTTGCCTCTACAATGAGTTGGGGGGCCCTCTATGCCCAACTGGGCGGCGTCAACAAACACTCCACCAGCCTCGGGAAGATCTGGCTCTCCGTCCTCTTCATCTTCCGTATCACTATCCTAGTCCTGGCTGCAGAGAGCGTTTGGGGAGACGAGCAGTCGGACTTTACGTGCAACACGCAGCAGCCCGGTTGCAAGAACGTCTGCTATGACCACTTCTTCCCTGTGTCACATATCCGGATGTGGTGCCTGCAGCTCATCTTTGTGTCCACACCAGCTCTGCTCGTAGCCATGCATGTGGCGTACAGAAAGCGTGGGGATAAGAAGACCATGCTGGCCTCCAATGGCACGGAAAAAACCGACCTTGAGACCCTAAAGAAAAGACGTCTGCCCATTACGGGCCCTCTTTGGTGGACCTACACCTGCAGCCTGTTCTTCCGGCTCATCTTTGAAGGCGGTTTCATGTATGCCTTGTACTTCGTCTACGATGGCTTCCAGATGCCCCGGCTGGTGAAGTGCGAACAGTGGCCTTGCCCAAATAAGGTGGACTGCTTTATCTCCAGGCCAACGGAGAAAACCGTCTTCACCATCTTCATGGTAGCGTCCTCGGCCATCTGCATGGTGCTGAACGTGGCCGAGCTGTTGTATCTCATCGTCAAGGCACTCTTGAGGTGCTCGAACCGGTCAAACAAGAGGAAACACCCCTACACAGAGAACATGACAAGGGACAACAAGAAGAACGAGATGCTGTTGTCGTCCTCTACGGACACGTCCAGCAACAAGACCATGTGCTAAAGAACAAAGAGAGGGATAAACTGTAGATCCAATCTGTGAAACTCCATTAGAGATGTCTTGCGGGATGCATAGTCTGATTTTACTGTGGCAAGACTTTAGTTCAGCTTCTTAACCAGCAGCAGAACTTATATTGACCAGACAGAAGGTAACTTGGGTGGTTTTGTCTCAAACATGGCCCTAGATTTCCCACTCTTGCACTATATTGCTCACAGCATAATGTCTTGGTTATGTAGCTTTGTTTAATTCTACCAGCCGTTATTTTAAGTCCATCGACCGAAAGAAGGTCACCTGCACACAAACAGACCAGTTTAAGCAAAAACTAAATCAGTTTACAAGTCAGAGAAATCCCTTTAAATCTTCAAGAACAATCTGCTGTAATCTGAGAGGCAATGGAGATGAAATGTGCAATGTCCCCTGCTGAATGTTGCCTCAACACTGCTTTGGATAGATATTTCTTCTTTAGAAGTGGTTGAAGAAGCATAGATTTGCTCAGTTTTTCAAATAACAACAAAAAAGCAAACTGCAGAAAAAAACAGGAAGGCGTCGATTTTCTAACACTGGAGATCTGTGCTTGACTAGTAATAGAAATGTGAGTATTGTGTTGTTCTGGAGGTAAATGAGCCTACACTGACACCTAGTGGTGAATGAAGGGGGTAATTGATGCAGGGCTTCAGATCATTTTTATGGTAACTGATCAAAGATGGATGGATGAAAGATTTTGCTGTATTGACTGACTTTATCTTTTTAAATGTTGTTTTTTGTGTATGAAGAATTTATTTAGAAGTGTGCCTTCATTTCACTTTAATAGGCGAATATAATCAATTTAATAATAATCGACTGATTTTGTTTTGTGAGTCGATTACCAGAGGACAAAATGAGACGGCATTCCTCTTAAAATTCACCAACTGATTATGGCATTCAACCAGCTTGAGAAAGAAAATCTGTCAGGTGGTTCTGCAATTAAGGTATTTTTTTAAAGGCTGTTTTTAACTTTTGTCTTTGAATTTCCATAAACCTGTAGGATTTTTTGTATTTTTTTTTTCCTTTGGGGCTTGCAAAAATAATTCACACCACTTGAATTTTTGTCACATTTCTTCATGTTGCAACCACAAACGGTTGTATTTCAACATAAAATAATGTAAGATTCTAATTAATATGCTGCAAGTTTTCTTATGTTTTTTTTTAATGCATGTATTTGTATTTAACTTTAGTGAGCCAGTTCCTTTTAGAACCGTCATTCTGCAAGCCTATTGTGGAACATCATAGAGCAACACAAATCTTATCACAGTTTCTTATTGGACTTAAGGTTAGGACTTGGACTGGTTCCCCCATTAAACTCCTGAAACGTGTATCTCCCCCAGTCCCAAACCATTTGCCCTCTCTAGTTGAGTTTTCCTCTCATCCCTGTAGTGAGTACCGTCCAACTTCCTCATCAACTCAGACCAGCTTTGCTTTCCCCATAGCCTAATACTTCCACCACTATGCTTTACTACGGGGATAGTGCAAACCACAGCACCCTCTTTCCCTTGTTGGATAAAGGGGGAGTGATGGTCTAGGGGTTAGGGCATAGAGCTTGGAGTCCTGAGGTTGTGAGTTTGAAACCCACTCCCACAGACTGCAACTCTGGGGCCCTGTGCAAGACCCTTAACCCCTCGCTGCTCCCCAAGCGCTGCAAATGGCAACCCACTGATCCCGAAGAGGATGGGTTAAATGCAGGGAGGGAATTTCCTTGTGCTGTACTTGTGACAATGTAATGACAAAAAAAAAAATAACTCTACATGATGGATTGAATGATCTTTTGTTCAAGTAATGTCTTTTTTAACCCCACAGTACTTTCAAAAAACATACATTCCCCCATCTACTGTCCACCTTGGTCCTCATGATGCAGATTTTTTTATGAATGTTCTCTAACAAACCTCTGAGGTTGGTTTTATCTTAAAATCTGTTTACAAATGAGGCAACATCTGTCCTGAATGATGTGTGAGGCCAAAGCTTTCTGATTATGGGATTGGATTCATATGCGCTCCACGCCTTTCAGATTATTACTTCTAAAGAATATAATCTGTGGTCACTTTTCATTATACGTCCCAGCTATGTTATAAGTGGTATAGCGCATTAAATTAGAATAAAATAGACAGTTTGTGGTTTTTAACGTGACAAATGGAGGAATTAAAATCAAGGGTGTGAATACATTTGCCAAGCTTGCATCGAAGCAAAGTTAGCATTTGTACAAACTTTATACAAATGCATAATGTTTCAGAGATATTTCAAAGGTTGGCTTTAAATAATTCATAGCTCTTGCAGATTAAGATTAAATTACATATTAACATTACTTTTAAGATTTGGAGGGTCAGAGTTTTCATTGGTAGAGGAGATAAAGATAAGGGTGATGGAAAGGAAGATTTGAAGCTAATCATAAAATTCTAATTGGACATAAAAAAAAAAAGTTGGTTAAAAAGAGGATAGTAGATTTTTTTCTCATTAATTATTTAGAAGCTCAGGAAAAAAAAGGCTATTTTGTAATAAATCATAAAAACTTCTTTTTATCACTTTTGCAAGACACCACTTGCTGTCAGAAATAAATGGAAATAATTTTTAAAACTACATCTAAAAGGAAAAAAAATCATTTGGAGCCAAACTGTAACTATTTAGACGTTTAAGAAAAATTGAAAACATAAAATCAAACGAGTTACTGTCAGAATTTATTTCCCCTGCAGGACAGTTTTTTTTTATTTTAAAGTTCAAAAAGTGCTGAAGTTCTGAAGCGCTGCTCCATCTGTGACTGTCCTCCGTTGTTTTCTTTCTGTTCATCAAAGATCAGCTTCAGTTGTTTTTTTTATTCATGTTACAGAGATCTTTATAGTGTGTACTACACCCTGCTGGTATCAGCTTTCAGCGTGTGCCTTATTTTAGCCAGCGCTCTAATCACAGCTCGGCCTCCTAATAATACACGTCTTTGTCGTCCGTCCATCTCTCCAGGAATAGATGTCATGGATTAGTAACATGTGTTCATTGAAATAAGGCACACCGTTGGTCCTTTTGTGATTGTGCAATAACTGCTGATGGACTGAGAGAGATATGCAGACGCACCAATTAGATGTGTAAATTCCAGCGTTATAAAAAGCAAAGTGGCTCAGTGTGTTGTTGTGTAACAGCTCAGGCTGATGCTGTGTATTTGGAGTTTCTCAGCGTGAGAACGCTGAAGGAATACATGACCGGCTCATTGTTGGACCCTGGGGAGATGAGTGTCATTAAAAAGAAACACATTCTGTACATCTGCTTTAAAATGACCTCCTGGTGTGAAATTAGGTATTTGGAGGGAGCAATCTTAATAAATGCAGAGTTTTTTACTGATTTTATTTCCATTGGAATGTAATAGTCTGATTCTAACAGCTATGCAACACTAATGGACAGCCTTTCACTGTGAGAAATGAACAAATGAGATGCTTTTAAATTAGGATTTGTACTTGCCATGTCTTGTGTCACACTTGCACTTTGATCCTTCAACTTTTTTTTTCTTTTTTGAAATTTTTCATAAATCAGTAAAAACACACCACCCTGGCTCTTTATTCTTCTTACTGTTGTTATTTATTTATTGCAGTGGGGGAGATCCTATATGTTATCATGTAAAGGTGTTTTTTTACAAACTGAACTGGGCTCAGGCTTAGATTATGGTCACATCATGACCTCTAGCTTTATAAATCATTTATTTTATTTAAAGCAGTAGAGAATATGCAAGTTTAATACACAAGGTACCCTAAAATTTGTTGTTAGTATCCATAGATTTTAAGTAACAAAGTATAAATATTTCATCACTGTTGCAGCCTTTTTTTCAGTATCTGTTCTTTACTTGCGTGTTTATTATTCTAAGGAATTTTTACTTTAACTCACTACATCTGAAGACAAATATCTTTACTTTCTACACCTTGGTTTGTCCAAACTTGCTTATTACTTCCATACAGGTTGATAACAACATGGCATAAGACTGTGTCCAAGTGGAGCCCTGTTATTTTGTAGGAAAACCCTGATAGATGGGTGGAAACAGGGAGGCTCGTAACACTGAAGATGATGGATTTGATTCTGAGCTGCAGGACATCATCAATTTCCACCTTTATAAATATTTCTTTTTTATCTTATTTATATATATATAAATCATTTTTTAACTTCTATTTCATAGTTAATACTATTTGCAACTTTAATCTTGTAAATACCAGAGCTTCTGTTCAGTTAATATAGAACAAAATTAAAACAAGTCAGTATTTTTCTTTATGTTCTCGCTATCAATACAGTGGACAAAAGAGGAAAATGAATCTATTTTCTGTTAATACAACGTTTTTTTTATAAAAATTGAGTTTATAAAAGGCTCTATTAACGGAAAAATCTTGCTTTTACTTTTCTTTTTTTTCTTTTTCTTCTTAACTTTGGAATTTAGAAGGTGTACTTTTTACTTTTAACTATATAAAAGAGCTCAATTCTTACTTTAAATTTTTCCAAATTCTTTTTTTTTACTCAGGTATCTCTACTTTTACTTTAAGTAAAGAACATGAGTTATATGTAGGTTTTAATTTAGTAGCTATTAACATTATTATTAGCAGTAAATGTTATATTTATCCATCTATTTATTTTAATAGAAAATATCAAGGAAAAAAGAAAATGAAACAATTAGACAATTATTCATGCAAGTTGACAGGCAATTAAAAAAAAAGAACAGGTAGAAGATGCTAAATTAAATTTTTTGCTGAACATCTTATAAACATCAACATACAGTAATTGAAATATCTCCACAATAAAGAATCCCCTTAAACTAAATTATCTCTAGATTCTCATCATCGAAAGTACAATTATTGTTAATATCATCAAAACAATTTTTGGCCTTTGAGACACCAGTTTATTTATGAAATGTTAATAGCTTGTCTATTTTTGGATTATGATTAAACCCGAAGCAGATATTTTCTTATTGGTTTCAGATGGACGTACTCAGAGTCACAGTCACTTTCTTGAGGACTGGTGTGGACATGTCCCCACCAATAATTTACGCTTTTTCCCCTTTCCGCTCATCTGCTTTAGCCAAAGGTAACAGAGTTGGGTGGAGCTATCTCTATTCAGTCAGTGTCTTTTCTATGGGGTTCCATTTGTGCCAAAATATGTTCATGCGTCTTCTGATGTGTTCATGTGTCGATGTAAGGTGTGTATGGAAGGTGTATATATCTGATGCATATGTCGTGTCCATAAGCTGTGAGTATATGTATTGTGTCTACATGAGGGATCAGATTCTGTCGCTTTGAGACATGTGACTTGCGGTCGCATTTCACTGTGTATAAAGTAGCTACATGGTTGGAGGAGAGACACACAGCGGCACTCAGTGAATATCAACCAGCAGCTACTTCAATGTTCAAGTAAAAGTTAAAATTCAATTCAGTTTATTTCTATAGCGCCAATTCACAACACATGTCATCTCAAGGCACTTTACAGTTCAACCAGATCATTCAGTCAAATTGATACAAAGTTTTCTATCTAAGGAAAACCAGTTGAT